ATAAATACTTAACCTATTTCGCCAATTTCAAGTAGATTTCGTTTGAACAACATTGGTTCTACAATGTACATAGCTGAAAGTCAAAAAATTGAAATCGAGCAATCGAGCTCATGATAAAAAAGTAGTCGATAAATCACAAAAAAAAAAAAACTTTCCTGACACTTCTTTAAAATTATTTTCCCATTTTCATTGCCTTCTTTCGTCTTTTATAAGTGTTACCTTTTTCATATTGTGTATTGAATTGCGATTAACTCTAATAAACATAAAACATAATGATATCTAAACTAAGTTTATATATCAATGGACAAGGAATATAATTATGTGAACTTATAAAATCCTTGATTATATTCAGCCTCCTTAAAAACGTTTCTAAAATCTGCTTATCATCAATTATATAAATAAAATTATATGACATATAAACTTATTTAAAAAAACACATGCATATACACATCTTTCAATCTTTTCAGATTCGTTTCGTTAACTATGAAATATCACTAACATTTAACAAAAACTATATATGTATATTTTTGTTTTCCTTCATCTTTGGGGGATTTTATACGCTTTTCACCAAAACATTACCCACATAAATTGTGAATGATTCCTTTGTTAAAAAGATTTTTGTTTTGTCGAGATTACAAATGAAACACCTGTAGTAGTTATGGTGAAAAGTGCATAAAGTTTTTAAAACTATTCTTTATCTAACCTTTGCCAAAATGATTTTTGTTTTTTTCTTCTTTCAATTGAACACAACCAATATTTTGAATTTTTATTATTTTTTTTAGTTTTATACAAATACAATCAAATGAATTTTACAAATGTAACTGCAACCAAATTACACAAATAGCTAATGTGGTGGGTTTCTACACACTGATTTAACATAAGTAATAATTGTGTTATACCAATTTTGGGAATTTATCAGTAAACGTTATAACAACATGGGGAATACTTTCAACACCAAAAAACAAATATTTTCTTTTTTAGGTTGGATTCAAATACACTCACATACAAACATTAAGTTCTGAACAATAAATTACAAAATGTATAGCCTAAAATCCTATATCAGATATCACGTTTATCAGGCATCGTTAGATTTCTTGTACGATCTACAATGAAATGAAGAGATATGAGCGGAGATTGATTGACAAAGATTAAAACAATTGATTGGTAGCACAAAATACAATTTGAATCTATAATAATATAGTTATAATTCAATAGAATATTTGATCTATAAAAGGTAAACTCAATATTGCGTTTATAAAAAAAAAACTCTGAAAATTCAAGGGGATGCAATTGACGTGGACAACCCATGACAAGTATGGCGATCTACTCTAATATCAGCCAGTGTCTAATAATTAGTGTGGACTCTATGTTATTGAAAATGCCGAGCACACTACAAATGATACGACACCACCTATAAAAAAGATATTTCAATAAACCCCTCGTGGTTTTAAAAATCGTTTTACAATAATTTTATAAGCGTTAAATTCGGCTGGGCCGTACTTTGGGTATCCTCCACAATAGGAATACTGATAGTTACATGAAAAGAAAATATAGACAATTCTAGTAATCGATGGTTGCAAACCAGAATGTAGGCAAGTACAAATTTCAGTAATTTGAATGAGGGTTTAAATTGTAAACAAAGTGCAGGTCGCATTTATGGTCCGAATTGGATAAAATTTGGGATAGCTCATTTATTTGGCCTTAGGACGTACCCCATTGAAAATGGGAAAATCGGTTCAAATTGAGATATAGCTCCCATATATAGTATGGCCGTTAAGAACAAAACATACTGAAATTAGTATAATCTAACCAGTTACAAATTTCGTTGAAATCTGTTTATATTTGGATATAGTTTCCATATATATTTTCGTCCGATTTTAAGTAAATAGTGCACAATCTCCCCATGTTTGTCAAATTGACATGCATTTTGTTACAACGTACAAAATTTATCATTGAATGGCGTAGTTGCGTTTTGAAGAAGTACAGACATATCCCAACAGATGTCCGATTGATAATTGCTTAAAATCGATTTGTCCCATTGTAACAGACGAATGACATGTCTATGGATTGATCGAAGTTCACATTTGGATAGAGATCACATATTTCATTCAATTTCATGTTAATGGTCCTTCAAAAAGGGGACGTCTGTTAGGATGCATCTCTTTAATATACCCATAGTGCTGATGAATACCATATAGTCGGCCCCTTCAGACTTTCCTACTTTGCTTACTGGTTTAGGTTTGAATCTCATTACCTTCCTTCACGCTTATTACTAAATCGGTAGGTGGTTTTATATAGGGGCTAGGAGTATAGTCGATATAGTCCATATGTTGTATGATTACAACAGATGTCTAAATCGACTAAATCGTCTTAGAATTCCATACAATGTAGTGCATAAACTGACAATTTCGAGTACGGAAGCAAAGTAGGTTGGATAACGCTCTCAAAACATTCGATGGAGGTTCAAAGTTAATAAAAGCCAGTTTGACACCTAGAATGACAATTTAAGGGTCAGTATTTTATTTTGCAAATGGGGTTACACTCATAAATAATATGAAAAGAATACATATACCAAATAATTTTGTCAAGAAGATTGTCAGCAGAGTCCCTGGCAGTGTAGCAATTTTTAAGTTGGGCGCCAAAGAGACATATTGCAACCAAAACGGTTGGTAAACGTGGATAATATCTTCTGTCTAAAGTCGAATGGTACCAGAATCTTCTTTGAATTTTACGCTGATCTATAAGCGTTTGCTACCTCAATGACATGATTTGGGTTTCAAATTAGAAACGCATTCGCCACATTCTTTACAATTTAAATTTACCGTTGCCATAGGCGATCTCCTGCTTTAATTTACCTTTCCATGAAATTTATGTTCTTTCTTGATGTAAAAAGAATATATTGAAACAGAAATTTTATATTATTTTTACAACAAACACATGGTATAATAATAAAAGGTAACAGCAAGTGTTGTTGTACAAAAAACGATACAACAACCACATGGAAATTTGTTGTTGTAGGTTCTACTAGTGTCAACTCATTTGACAGAAAAATGTAAACAAACAAACAAATTATCATCAAATTATTTTTATTTTAAAAATGGAATATTTTCGAATCCTCCAAATAAAAATTGAAAAACATGAATGAAAATCTATCAAATTTATATTTCTATCGCTTCCACATCTTTCCTTTAATTGAGCCATTGCCATATATATGTGTAACACATATGACAATGCTGGGAATAGCGAGTTATTCCTTCAAGAAAGATTTGCTTCCTCAAACTTTCCCAGCAGGCAGATTGAGCAAATTGAATACGGAAGCACATTAATAAAGAACAATTTCAAATTGTATGCGTTCCCAATTGGCGAACTCCTGTTGGGTGGTTTTCAAAAACATAATTTGTCAAATTCATATTGACACTAGTATTACGTTGGAATCAAATCAGCTGGGATTTGCTGTTACCTTTTATAATTGTACCATGCAACAAACATTGATTTTTTTCATACTTGTCAAATTCATCGAACCGAAATTCACATCTCATTTCATTGTAGACTTGTACAAATTATTGCATTGCGGTTTGTATGAGTAGCTTGTATGTAGTAGTGGTACAAAGTTTTGTGTTATTTATGCATGTATGAGTGTATAAAAAAACTAATACGCTGTTCTTTTATTTTGTTGCTTTAAGAAAATATTTACGCCTATTTGTTTTTATCTCTTTGTTGTTGTTGCACTTTTAGTATGTTCGTTAAATTTGTTTGCTTTATAGTTGAAAAAGAAAATGTTTTACACTCTTTTCGTTTTTGTTTCTGGTTGTTGTTGTTGTATTTTACATAAATTAACCTGAAGCATTGCCTTAAGTTGTAAATGTTGTTTTTGTTGCTTTAATAATTTTTTGCATTTTTTAAATAGTTTGTTGTTTATTTTGTTTTTATATATTAGCTTGGAATAAATATTTGTATATATAGGTATATTTCTTTTAGGGGTATAGGACATAATTTTATGTATTTTTTTTTACTTTTTAATGGATTTCTTTAGGTTGGTTGTCAATTTGTTTATTGTAAATATTTAATCCGAAATGTAAAGGGAAATCGATGTCTTCGATGGAATTAAAAAAAAAACATATTTTTGGAAAGATTTTTCGTTTATTTGAAATAAATTGGTATAATTTACATGGCTCATAGAAAAATGTAAATTTTTCCATAAGATAAAATAGAGTTACAACTTTTTCAAACGAACAATAAAAATTGTGGGGAAAAATTGCGTCTTTTTGTCGTCAGTCGGTCTATGGTTCGTTAATTCCATTTGAATTTCATTTCATGGCTAATTTTTAGAGAGGCTTCTGTGTGAGTTATATATTCCTTTTTTTTTTTTTGTTAGACTGTTTATCAGTTAATGTGTCATTTTTTATTTTATTCTTTGAGGACGTTTTAGTGTTGTTTCGGTGTATATATAGAAATATGAAGATATAACTTTGTTTTATTATTAATATATATATATATATTTTTTTTTTTGACAGAGTACATACATGTATAAAAAACAGTGAAGCTGTATAATATTTGAAAATTGATTTAAGATTTTTGTTTCATTGTTTCGTTTTGGGGTTTCGGTACAATTTGTTTTTCTTTTGTTTTGTTGATTCCAATATTTCAAGCTTAACTACATATTTTACACGTTTCCAATTTGTTTGCGGTTTGTTAGTTGGTTGCTAATGGGATTCTCTATTTAAATATGTATATATATATACGGTAAATATATATTGTATAGATAGTTTGGTATATCAATTTGATTTATACAATAGTTGTTGTTGCTGTAGTTGTAACTAAAGAATTTCTTTCTGTAAGTACCTTTGTTAAAAAATTAACATTTAATCAGACTAAAATACTGTTCATTGCTTTTCAATATTCACATTCTGTTTGACATTTCAAATTGGTTTCTAATTTGTATGTGTGTATTTAAGTTTCATTGGAGATAGTTGTCGGGGTCATTTGCAGCCATGACTGCTCCCTTGGCTTTGCATTGGACTTTAGTCCCTTTTGGATTTAGAATGAATTAATTGCTACGCCTTTGAACCATTGGCGTCATCTTTGTCCTCGTTGCGTTCATTGGAGTTATCACGTTGTAGTAAAGAACGGTTCTCGTCACTGGAGCCGCCAGCATCTCCGCTGCCGTCATTGCCACTATCCGCAGTTTCACCACGTAAATTAACATTCGATGTAAATGTTGTTTCGGAATCTGTGAATGTTTTATCCAAAAAAAATCCATTAGTCAAAAGAAATATTAATTCTCGGGTTCACAATTGTATGTTAATTGTTAATGCATATTTATATAAAGCCAATTGTGAGTGTATTGTCTTAAGCTATATCAGTATATATGTTAAATAAAAAGCGATTTCAATATTATGTATAAAAAGCGGTAAAGCAATGCTTTAGGTATGATGTGATGCAGGAAGAGAAACAAGGTGTAAACAATATTAATTTTAGCTATGTTGAATTATCCACATTCATATCCATTTCGAAAACAGGTCATGTTGTATTAACATCATTACGCGGTAATGGCATTAGGTTTATCTAGCAAAAATACCGGATCGGTGGGGAACATGAATAAAATGAGCTAACAAAACGTATATCCATATTGACCGGGACCGGGAGCCAACAAAACGTATATCCATATTGAATATTATCTGTAAGAAAGTTTTACTTCACTTTGAGAAATAAAAACCCCAAATAACAAAAATTAAAATAAAAACATCATCCCAAGTCTATAAACTTTAAACCTTGTTTCAACAAAACCTTAGCTAATAATTCAAAGCCCAGCTATTGGATTTTTGCGGTACCAATTGGTTAAAGATTTTAGTGCTGCACTGGCTTTGAAATACCGAAAATCTGTCTATATTGTTATGCCAAAAGTTGGTGCCTAATTCTCATATTACTAATACACGTGGCCGAAATCTCGAAAAAATCGAGAATCATGCGGAATGTGTATATGAATCTGTGTCAAACTCCAAACATCATAAGAATGATTGCAAAGCTTCAAGTATTATCGAAAATATGGCTAAATCTTACATTGATTTAGCCATGTCAGTATTTTAAATTGCTACAGACGGATTGTCAAATTTGTTATGGGATTAATTTAATGGTGGAGGGCCGAATTGATAAACTTTTAGTAACGCAAATTCACAATTTCATAAACTCTGCTTCTTTTATCAGCAATGTTGCATACAGCGAATCTTCATCCTAGGTTGGTTGGTGTTGCAAATTGGATGTATAAGTCCACGTTTTGTTATAGCACCCATAGGTAGTACCGGTATATTTAATGTGTTAAACGCATTATCCATTCGAAAGGGTTCTAATTTGGCATACCATATTTTTAGAGGCTGACATACATCTGTGCAGGAAATAATCAATACATTGGTATTGCTCATTTGCTGCAAGACCTGCATAAATAAAACCAGTGAGCTGTCAGTATTGTCGGACGACCATATCCTATCCAACACAACTACCACCGAACACTAATTTCATACAGAAAACGTTTTTGGGCCGTTGAATTACCTAAATATCATCTGAACGTCACCGAAATTTGTAGTTGTCGTTCTGGACCATAACCGGGTACTCATGCCAACTTTTATACCTATCCTCGCGACAGTTTTACCCTCTAGTGTGATAATGGTAATAGTAACCAAATCGAAATACGCAGGCACCTGTAATTATCATAGTATAACTCCCATATCTGATGACATGGGTCAATTTAAAATGTATAGGTATTCCAGATTCATGGTAGGGAAAAGAATTCTCCCCAGAATATGTTCATTATAAGTCAAGGTTTTCCAAACGTAGTTACCTTGGTTATCAGAAATTTGTAATTTATGTCATATTTGTTTTAAACTGCGAAAACCGGCGTTGGAAAATGGGATTAGAATCATAAAAAACCAAAAAAAAAAAAAACGGCAGGCATTCATATTGGGTCTATATCGAAACAATGTCTCTATTTACAAATATTCTGCAAGTATTTAATCTGTCAATGCGAATTTTTAGACTTTTCGTTTATAAAATGCGGTTAGAATTTATAAAATGCCTTAATGTTCCCACGGATTTTGGGATAGGGTTATGTTTTAAAATACAGATGATACCTTCAAAATCGTATTTCCTTTTTAGTATCAAACATCCTAGGAGACATAGAATTGCAAAACTCTATATTACATATTGAAGTCTCTTTATGCACACTGCAGAATTTACTCTGATAAAAGAATATATATACTTATCATATCATATTAGACTTATATTATTTCCGAATTTGGAGGTTTGGAAAAACTAAAAAGACGTGGAAATTTTGTATGAAAAATATCAATGTTTTTCATTTTCCAAAGTGCATTCAAAATCGTCGTATACACTAATTAAATTTTCGAACCTGACATAATTTTTATGATGGACCTGGCTAAATTAACTGTAACTGATTTCAGATAACTGATACTGATTTCATCCGTACATACTTGGGATTACAACACATTCCTATTTTATATATTTTATGCGTACTGGTTAATTTGTTTATTTTCTTTGAAAATTAAGTCGAATTCCTTCGTGTCAAATTTTATACAAAGAATCTCTAAATTTTTTATTTCAAATATGTCGACAAACAACGTACTTTAATTTGATGTCAAGATATTATATTTTATATATTTTACCTAAAACAAAACTATTTTTTTCGATTTGTACTTAAATAAAAATATTCAAATTAATAATTGAAATAATTCTTATAGTTAAACTAGTATTATATTAATTATTGAAAAAATATATATATTTATGTATTTCAACATAGCTTAGATTAAGTTTGCTTTCACCTGTAATTCACTTACTTGTGTGATGTAATTTTGTTAATATACATATATCTGTAATTAATATTTATATATACAAAACAAATGAACAGTTGTTGTATATATATGTACATAAAATTCCGAATTTGTGGTTAGTTTTGATTTAAGTTGATGGCAATAAAATGAAAAAAGTATTTATTAATTGTGAAATGAAAATTCTTATTATTAGCTGGTAAGTATAGGACAGCACAAGGAAAAATGTAAATGTATTGCGGTTTTTTTCTTTTGGTGAGTATGTGCAACTAATTAACAGTGGCCGTGATAATAAGTGCAACAGAACAAGACTTTACTGTGCTTTCTATTATCTTACAAATTAGACTTGCTGGAAAAAACAACAACGACATACAAGAAATGTACCATCAAATATTAGGGAATTCCACAAAAACATAACCAACATAACTGTAGAATATTCACAGACGGGCAGAGAGATAGAGAGGGAGGAGACATGCTTCAAAGATGGTGGGTATCACTTAAAATGCAGCATCGAAAATGACTGACGGATGAATGGAACAAATGATCGATCATTCACAATTGTTTGTTTAATTGAAAATAGAAGTTTGGTATTAGTTTTAGTGGAGTTGTAAAGTCGCTATAAATTCATTTTTTTGTTTGCTTGAATCAAACTTCTTTTGGGAGTTTTTGATTTTCTTTATTTTTTATTTTTAGTTATTTTTGGCATATTTACCTAAACTACTGTCTCTATTCGTTGAGTCATAACGACTGTCTCCGGACAGATGTGCAGCGGCGCCAGCACGTGACAGAACTGGTTTTACCTGTCGTAGAGCCTGTTCCTCTGCTGGATAGCGAGGTGTTTGAAATTTGGTCGGCTTCGATTGTAATGTGGCCGGGCCTGAGCGTTGTTGCATTAGGGTTCGATGCCTAAGGGGTGGTGGGGATATTGACTTAGCTAAAACTGAATGAGGTAATTTATTCGGTGAGTAATCACTGCCTGATTCGCCCTGTCAAATAGAAATGCCAAAGATTAGTGTATCCGCAAAGAGAGGAATGGTTTATTGTAAGGGTAACTTACCATTACTGTGCCATTGTCAGAGACACCTGAACCAGACATGTTGTCCGCCAGCAGACGTTCACTTTCCGGATCCGCCAGTACTCGAGACACATCCGATTTATTCTTGAGAATTGATTTAGATCGGCGATGATGGTCCAAATTGGGTGATGCATCTATTGATTCTATCGATGAGGAATGTTTACTTTCAAATTTGGCTAAATAATTACAAGCAAGCAAAAACAACACCAACGTATATACATACATATATGGATAGATAGGTATATCGAGGCAGATCCATTAAAAAATATACATTAAAAAATAAATACATACAAGCTTATAGATACATCAATCAGTCAATATTTACAAATGAATGCAACTCTGACAAAACAATATACTTTACATAGCACTGACAACCAAGAATTTCAACTGGAAATTACACATGTACATATTTAAAAAATACATATTTCAAGTTGGATGGAGGATTTGCATTATGTCTTGATCTACATTCGAAAATTTTACTTGTAGCATTCTAAGCCATCAAACTAGAATGGCATTTCAGATTTTGCTACATTCAATAAAATATTGTGATCAGCAAAATATTGGTAAATTGAAGAATGTTTTCCTTTATCATCGGGAATCCAAAATATAAAATAGAGCGTGAAACTGGATTGTATTGATTTGTTTAGGGATAATGGGAATCCGTTTATGTGAAGGTTTTGGTAGCTCGAAATCTGGACAAGAAGACCATCTAGATCGTGTATATAGCTATATGAAAATTCTCACAAAAGTTCGGCATCCATCTAATGTAAAAATGCTTCAATATTTTACATTTTTCAATGCCAACAAATGTATATGTTAATTATTATTTAAAATTAAAGGGCCAATCCGTGGTCAACGCATTTCTAATCGTTAAAACAGGGCAAACAGTTGGAATTCAATTACATTCAATTATTTTAATAATGGGTTTAGAAACTATGTTTGACAACAGCAATCGGTTGTTACGAGGGCTATTATATATTTTTTCTGGCCTAGGCACTGGCACCGTCTGAAATTTCCATTTGAACGATAACATTTTTTAGAATAATCATACGTACGGCCATGTGTTGTGTTGTTTACAGTTTTAATTTAAAAGAAAACGATGAATTAAGTCGTGAATATTTTTGACAGCATTCAAAGTGGATTATCACGACTAGAGTAAATCGATAAACTATAAGTTTTATGTGATAATGTAGCGCCATCGTGTATCAGTGTGAATAATAAATTCAATCCTCGGTCAATTCTTATTATCATGCCAATGAGTGTAAAGAAATTTTCAAAACATACGATCGTGTTGCTTTAAAAGATCTGCCTAATGTCTTCGGAGGAATTCCTTTTTGAGCATGGGTTATCCGCCGAACAGCCCTGACTGGCTCTCAATGATCAACTATTTTTGGCACCAGAAGAAGCTGTTGATGCGTTCAGAAATAATGTTTTAAAGGGTTCACATCGAAGTGGAAATAGTGCTTCGATCGAATGTTTCGAAAAACATTAATATCATGTTTCATCATAATTGTTCGGATGTTTATTTTTGGCCAGAAATATATATATATATATATGTAGTACCTCTCGTATTTACATAATTAGGGAGGCATAAAATTGTCGAAACTTTCGCTTTTTGTTCAGGGCGTCAATAATAACAATAATAATGTTGGCATGGAAAATATTTATTACTAATTGATAGCTTGTGAGCAATATTGATCCTAAAGACAAAGTAGAGTTGTATCGAAACATCATTCCCAATGTGAGAAATCTTCATCATAAAATAATTTAATTTGATTTTCTAGTAATCAGCCCTTCAAAAGATTTAACTACAAATGCCTATTGTTAGTAAATTGAGGTTAGTTTTTTTATATATGCCGGTCTCAATGCTTAATTTTTCAAAATTGATAAAAAAAACTTGGTTGTTATTCATTTCAATATTTCGAGAGATTAAAATACAAAAATTTACACAAAACGTTTCGCGTCGTTTTTAATTGTCCAACTTTTCAATTAAAGCAAACGGAATATTCACAGAAAATGTACACAACGAAACTCAACAAATGCGACTGATTGATCTTACCTTTGGGTCCAACATTTTGTATGCCGAAAAGATGCTGATTTATTAGTTTGGTGGCAGTGGCTAAACTCTTGCCGGGCATAAACGATGAACGCTTCTTTTTACTGGTGGTGGTGGTAGTGGTACTGGCCGGACTGTTGTCGCTGCCTAGATTCTCCTGCGACAGTTTGGAGTCATCGAAACGGGCTCGTGGTTTCGACATCTGTGCGGGGCCGGTGGTGGAATGTGAGGAGGAGGACGACGATGGCATTGCCGCTGCTGAGAAACTCTGTTGGAATCGCGTTTTGCGATGCTTTGGCACTGGATTCTCGTTGAGGCTAATGTGGCTGCCGCGATCGTGTGCGTCGAAATTTTGATAGACATCATCCATGGGACTTAGACCACCAGCTGCCAAATTTCGCAAAGCCGTATCACCAGATGCGCTCTTTTTCACATGGGCCCGTATCTGGCCCGAAGATGGCGTCGGCGGTAGACCCACCATATAACCGGTAGTTGTGTTACCAGCCGAGTCTTTTTCCAGTGGATTTATATACAAATTATCCATGTCTATGTCCAGGGCACACACCTCGTCGTTCAGATCGGACGTGAGGTCGCCCTGTGACAGGAATGGGTGGGTTTGACAACTGGCATAGGTGTCCGAACTATCTACGCTTGCCAGATCGGCATTGTTATTATTGAAATTGTTATTCAAATTATTGTTGCTGAAATTGTTCCCCAGTGCTGTCACACCTTGTTGGCTGGTGCTCATTGGCAGCGGATGGCAAGTTCCCAGAGATGTTGTATTGAAATTGTTATTGTAATTGTGATTGAAATTATTGATGACAGTGGAACTGCTGCTCACATACGGTGGATATCTCAGAGACGTATCTAATGGCAGCGCGATTGTAGTCGACGTCGTTGTGCCATACGACGATGACGTCGACGAGGATTGCGATATGGGCGCAAGGCCTCCGGTGGCAGTGTATGGCAGTGATGTGCGCACAACACCTCCGCTGCCGGCCGAATACAGTAGTTCGCTTTGCGTTGTACCCGTGGAAGCGGTCACAATACCACCGCTACCCATTTGCAATTGGTTGGATATGAAAGCTGCAGCCGATGCGGGCGGTATTGCCGGCACAGCAGGTGGCGATGCGGCAATTGGAAATCCACCAAATGGAAGCGATTGTTGCAGCTGACGATTGGCCGCTTGTCGCATTTCATAACAAATCGGTTTATGGAAGTCCGATGTTGGAAGTGAGATAACACCTTCGGCATCTGTAAATTCCTTGAAATCCTGAAACACACAAATGAAACAAGTGGATCGATTAGAAGGGAGCCATAGCGACGGAAGGAGTATTTCTTGAGTTTAATATCGGCACCAGGTTCAGCACATTTTAAACTATTTGAATAAGTAATGTACAGGGGAAATTCTTGGACAAACTACGTCAGCTTGTGTTAAAATGCCCAGAACTAAGTTTCGAATTTAAGAAGATTTTCATAAGGGAAATAATATTATTAAATTGCATTTTGGACACATTTGTTTGTTATTTATAACCCTTAAAGGAATATCTAAAAATTATTTATGGGGTAGTGTTATTTGTGTTTTTATTTTTTGAAACAAAATTAAATTTTATATACAAGTTCTGTGCAGAAAGCATATCAATCAAGCGTGACAAGCTAAGAAAAAACTTTATGGAAATTTATGGGCAACTTACCTTATATAATTATTCAATGAGTTTCAATGTAAATATAATTTTAGTTTTTTTGTTGTTGTTGTTGGCAGCTGTTTGTAGTTATTGGTATGTAGATTAAATATACTATAAACAATTTTTTTGAAGATTGAATCCTATACGAATTATACTGATATGAGTATTTCTTTACATTCAAATTTCGGTTGGTTTTTGTATCCTGATTCCGAAGATTCAGAATGGGTTATAATAAATCTGGATCTACGAAAACGTTGTTAGATTGAGGTATATTCGAACTATAACAATAAACATAATTCTAGTGAAATTGGTTAATTAATATATTCTGTAAAACCGAATATTTGTAAAAAAAGTTGTGGTTGTGTTGTGTTCTGTAAAACCGAATATTTGTAAAAAAAAGTTGTGGTTGGATGAGATTTTGATACCAGACAAATACGAGGTCTACGATATAAATTTCAGGCATAATAATAATGCATTAATTTCACGTTTGAGTTAGTCGAAGCGGTGCTTGTTTTGAGCTCATATTGTCTACTTCGTTTTTCACCGGATCATTGGCCACATGACAATCTTTGTCGAAAAACAGTCGATCACTTCATTCAGAGTACTTTTTGGAATTTGTTCGTCATCGATGACTCGGTCGATAGGGCTCATAGATCGACTGCCCGAGTTAGCACGATACTTTTTTGAGTAATTATCAAATAACGCAGCCTCTGACGTGAATAAAACAATTAACCCTTTCAGTGTAAAAAAAAATTTTGTCGGAATAAAAATCTAAAATTTTGTATTTATAATCATATAAAGGAACATAACTTCTGTCTTTCAACAAAAACATCAATTGTAACGGTACATAGGATAACCGAAAAATTGCAAAGAAAGAGTGTAATTTTAAATGTCGAATATATTCGACAAAAACACTGAAAGGGTGAAACTAGTGTTGATGCCAGTAATAAATAAGGTAACCCTAGTAATTCTAAGCTAAGCTAATGCAATGTAAATGTTTTTATCCGTCTTCATCAAAACACTTACTAACATTTACAATTAGGGAGCTCCATCCTACACTTCAACTAAATTCCAGCTCTATCTATTCACCCAAATCTAAACTATACAAGATTTGGTACCATTCACCTCAATCATACACTCCGCTGGTAATCTTTGTTGCAACCAACGTCCAGATTGTACCAAATGTGGACTTTTCGAACTCATAAGTACGAATTTTACAACGGATAGGACTAGAATCAACATTTAAGGATTCTAGTCCTATCCCTTTACGAAAAACCAAATTGAGTACCATTCATTACCTTTTGAAGACGAAGAACGATTTTCCTAAACTTCCTTTATTCTACACTACAACAGTAATTTTAATAATTTCAGGATCCCAGCTCATAGATCCAAATTGTACTATATTCAGTACTTTTTATACCTTTCACCATTGTATGGAAAGTATATTAATTTTGTCATTCCGTTTGTAACCCATCAAAATAATCATTTCCGACCCTATAAATTATATATATTCTTGATCAGAATAAAATTTTATAACGATTTAGCCATGTTCGACAGTCTGTTGTTATCACTCCAGCCTCTAAACGAATTGAGATAGATCGACATAATTGCGTAGTCTTTTGTCTGCAGCCAGGTCAAGTTCGAAGATGGGCTATATTGATCCACGTTTAGGAATAGTACCCATTACAGTATTTTGGAGCTTTGAGAGTATTTTTCAAACGAATTGGCTGTTTGTTTTATTAATTTGAGTTCTTATTTGATAGTAAATCTTTCCACAAACAATTATATATATATAGGTAATTTTTTCAACAGAATTCGCTGTAATTTGGTTTATTGTAGTCTTATATCGTAACAAATCACCCTTCCAAAAAATAATAATATTCGGGGACTACACCTAATCCCCATATAACCCCCTTTTTAATTGAAATAGTTATATGATTTGGTCCGCGTTTATGGTTAGTCTGCACTCGAAAGTATGTCATTATAAGACAATTTTGCCGATTCTGCTATTTGTTGTAATCATTCTATTATCGGAGGATATCGAGATAAAACCCTGCCTACGATACCTACGGATTTTTGATATTTTTAATATTTAGCATGAAGGAAAGTATTGTAATGCAAAAATATTAGGTTCGAAGTTGAGCTATATCGGTCCTCAATTAAGGATAGCACCTCACAGTATAGGTATAGCCTCCAGGGACGTACGCCTACAAAATTTTCTCCTCAATGACTTTTTTCATACTGAACCAGCAGTTTCCTAATTTCATAAACTACATTCCATTTTAATTCCCAATTTCAAGGCTCCTGCTCTTACTTTTGACCGAAATCCAACTTCAACCAAATTTAGTACAACATAGCACATTTCGTACGCATACGTACGATTTTAAATGCTGCCCAAATCCTGTACTCGAAAGGTAATCATAATTCCTATTTTTAGGATGCCATTTGAAGACGCCAAACTAAATGCAAATAGTACCAGTTTAGTACTTTTAATACACATAACCTGTAATACATATCAAATTCCACACCTTCCCAACAGTTAGAACAGTTAGAACTTAATTTAATAAAGTTTTGCACTTATTGTACACTTATAGGTTTAATTTCGAAAAAAAAAATTTTTTTGCATCTTTCTAACATTCCATTAATGACCAAAATCAGAATAAACTATTAAGTCGGTTGAAATGCGCATAATATCCTCATTATAGAATTTTCAAAAAATTTTTGATGCATCTTGTAAAAATGGTCTAAACTGTTACGAAACTTCAATGTTCAATAAAATATCCATATTCATCACCTACAATTTAATAAGCAGAATCCAATATTCCATATATGTAAAAAAATCATATTCGTTTTACATTTGCTTATATGTTTTTATTATTAAAAAATCTAAATAAACATAAACAATTCCATTACTAAGAAAATAATAAACTTAAAAATAATACAAAAATAAAACATTACATGAAGGAAATTACATTTAAAATACTTTGTTTTCTTCAAGAACAACTTATAGTGTCAATTAAAGCATTCAATTTCATTTCAAAATAAATTCAAATTAATATTATTTTAACTACGTACGTATATATTCGCTTAGTGATAACTAGGATGTGTTTCAAAATATCGAAATGTTGAATGTGTGAATTTCAGTTGGATTCGATGCAAGCGCAATTGCCGCATCTTCTGACATTTCCAAATTTTGTTCAATTAATGTACATCGTAATAGGTTTTGTATCTAAAAAACTAATGTAATGTAAACTATGTGTAATTACTAATTACGTAAAAAACGTATGAAAAGATATTCACAAAAATTCTTTGAATTTTTGTTTGTCTTTTATATTTGTTGTTTATGCAGTATCTCGTTCTTATTTTGAAAACGTTTTACATCTTGTTTAAAATATTATATTTTCTTAAAATGTATAAAATTTCACATTAGAAAATTGGATGTTCATTAACTATTAAACTAAATATTCAAGTATAAAATAAAAATAAAAATAAATATTTCATCTATATATGTTTTTATACCAGATATCGTATGGTAACATCTTTGATGTCCGTTGAGGTTTTTGTTATAAAAAGTACAAAAAATATATAAACCCGTGGTCACGCCTTAGAATGTAGTTATCAGCACAATTTTGTTTTTGTAATTTTACGATATTTCAAAGATTTTCAAACGCTATTCGCTCTCAATGGAATACATTCGCCTTGGCATCTTTGATATCCCTTTAAAAAGAAAATAAACAAATAAAACAAATGAAATTATAATTTAATAATTATCAAATAATTAAAAACGAGCAAATACAAATAAATCAAATAATAATTAAGAAATAAAGGAACAAAAACACAAAAAGCAATATACACTGGAAAATGCTAACGAATATACAACGACTGTACAACGGAGTAGGGGTAGCTCCATTCGTTTATATATATATACATATATATGTGTTTGGCAGATGGACAATTAGCAGTTACACCAGATAGAATTTTCCGAAGCGAAAGCTACATAAATGCTGTGAAAAGCAGACGGACAACGATTGACATATAAACATATACATATGCACATCTAATATGTGTAATTTTGTGAACATTGTCCACATGCCCAACTAGGAATTAAGAAATATATATTCGATTTTAAGAATTGCGATTTAAATTACAAGTCACGGGATTTAAATATGACCAACATAGTCAAAACTTTTACGATGTACGAAACTAATTGAGGGGCGAAAGCCGTTCGTACCCTCACAAAGTTAAATTATGCTGCATCCGCATTTGCAAATTAACTGCTATATCAATTTTCCACTTCAAAGAGGGTCATATTTTGTTGACGATGAAATGTTCCGTTATTTTTTCCAACTTTCCTCGTACTTATATGAAATGCGCATGTTCGTCAAGGACGCATCCTATTGAAATTGGGGCAATTGGTTCAGATCAGAGATCTTTAATAAGAAAAAAATGTGTTTCGGTATACACATAGGTTACTCGTACGAATAACTGGGCTTCTGGATGTGCAATGAGCAAGAACGTAAGGCAGAATCTGTTACCGAGTGCGAAAACCATTTTGGTAAAATGCAATAGTGTCGACGAGTAAGAGTACTCTGTTTATAAGTGACAATATGTTATTGGACATATTTTTTAACAAGTGGATTATAGGAGTCGGAATCAGTCACACATCGAGTTTTCTGGTTCAGATTTAGTTCGGACTTATATTTTCAGATAGCTGGGAAATATAAGTTCGTCTGATTTCATATAGATGGAAAAGGTATGAAAGGTCTAGGTGACAATATGAAAACCCCAGAAGGAAAAATCCTCCATAGATCAAACTTTGGATATATGAGATTGCCAAATACGTAAAAAACATTCAGTTTTCTTAATTTTGGAATATATTCATACCATAAGAGAGCTTATAAACTAATGCATTTTATTTATTGAGCCGGAGTATTATCGGTGTTTTATTTGAATTTTCTGTTCCAAGACTCATATAGGGATGTAGTAACAAGACACGGGAAAAATAGAAAAAATACGGGTCTATGTCCTTCAGGCCTAAATATATACGTTATAGAATACAGATGTTTTTTTTTGTAGTTTTTCACACAAAAGTCAGGATCCATTTGATCCGCCAAATATTGACCGATCTTTATCAAACGGGCATTCTTATTCCTTGGCTCGATTCCCTTCTCCATATAAAATATTTGGACCATAATTAAGACCTCTGAAGCGGCCAGAAAATCAGACAAAATAAAGTTTTTGGTCCATTTCATCCCCCAAATATTATCCGATCTTTACCAAAAACAATAGCGGCCTTCATTGGCCAGAACCCATCCTACATGCAAAATTTAGTGAAGATTGGTCCATGACTCGTATCGTGTTTACAAATTATAATGAAATATCTCGACTCAGCTAGTCGAGATAGAGATATGACGAGATTTGATCGGTATACTTAAAGGTGGGTCTAGGACCAATATGTCGCGGCGTTACAAACTGTGTAGGGTATGGAAACACATACAATAGCTACAGTGTCACCAGCAAAAAAAAAAAAAAACAAAAGACAGCGTTATACTTTTGGTCAGGGTTATCCATTTCGAGCTTTAAAGAAATGCAGGCAAAAAATAAATAAAAGTGGAATGGAAATCTGAATAAAGGAAAAAATCGGAACTTCGCACCGCAAAATCGCAACATCATCCCACGCCTTTTTCTTTATTAACCATGACGGTGAAATTGTTTAAACGTTGCCGTGAGTCAGTGCGCTTTATTAAATGCCGCCAAAATGAGTTTCACATTGTCTAACTTTTGCAACGTTAACGCATGACACGATACACAGCTCAACGGAAGCATTCTGTTTAGCCCTTAATACTTTTTTATGTGTCTACGCGAAAGTGTTCGAATATTAACTCAAAAAAATTAATGTTTGCAACATTTCGCAGGAATTTCATTTAAATGTCAAAGTTTAAAATTTATAATGATGAAAACATATTTTATATGTATTTTATTTACTTTTACTGCCACGAAATGGATAACACAGTATAAACTCTAGCAAATACCTCAAAACAACTCTAAAAATTAAATAATCTCCAGCATTCTACGATGGAACAAATTACAACATTTTGTGTATGTAAAAAAACTCCACATTATTACCAGTTTCTTCTCTTCACAAGTAGAAAAGATTGACGCGACCCTCTTCTATCATACGTTTTAGAATTCTGTAATTTTCAGGCGACGGTGGTGGCCGCACCAGTTCATGCATTGGAAATTCTTCGCCATTGAAGGTAAAAATTTGATCCTGCAATAGTTTGCATGTTAATTTACTGCGAGAAAAACAGAATAGAACAATCTACACGCAGTAATTACTTAATTGCTTCAATCAATTATTGAATAACAACTTAAGTCTTAACTGAATTTCGTAATTTACACACATTACCATTATATATATACATACAGGTTGAAATTGGATGGATGGCAATGACAATAACAACAACTATATTTAATTAATGGACAATGACAATGTAAACAACTCAGACGTCTATATGAGTATGTGTCTGTTGTTCGGGTCTTGTGGACATGACAATAAACAAGGAAAATGTAAGCAGGGTGTATCGGTGCGGTTCCTTAAGAATTAACTCTTACATCAGTATGGTATTGGTAATAATCAATACAAAAATATAATTCTAAACCATTTTTCTCTGTATTTTTGAAAGCGTAAATAAATTGTCATATTCGAAATCCAATGATTTAAGGATTATCATCTAACTTGTAAAGTACTTACCCAACGGGAGTGTCATTTTTATATCGACTTAGAATAATAAATTGTAAATTACGGCATTGATAAAGACTATAATAATCTTAAGAGCATACAAATATTAATAAAACCTATTCCCACTATATAACATTACCACTACCTGTATATTACGATTCGGATGTGGATCAAAAGTTAGTTGCATATCGAAATAATGACTCTAAACTTAATAGTGAATCTTACAACAACAACAGTTGAATCTTCTGTGTCATATTCATCGTTAGGTGGGAACTTCCACCTACTCTTTTAGGACAGCTTAGGGTCAGTGTTACTTAATTTGACACGACCAATCGTCGATTTTGGACCAATATATACTATTTTATGGTTTGGGGAAATATTACGAAGTGCGATTTTTGGATGCTTTAAATGAACTAAAATACAGATATGTAAGATTCATCAAAACCGCAAACATTTTTTAATTGTATGAAATATTTTAAAAACAACATTTGTAAGGTTGACATTAACTATTAACCGGAAATCCAATCCACTTATTAAATTCTGCTCAATATTGTGAAACCGAATTCAAATACTATCCTTATGGTATAATTGGAAACCAAACGACACTCTCACACCTAGATATTTTTACACTATATTATACACAGATACAATGACATTGGCACGACTGTGCCTGTGAATGGACAATTGTAAAATAATTTTACAATTTACAACTTAGTATACACTGGGTGCGTCTCATGTGGTGCATGAACAACTGGTATAACTTGTACATTTTCTAGATACCTTTGATGTGCAGAAACAGCATTCGAATTCCACCGGTACATCCTGATCGTAGTTGTCCAGTCGTTGATTTTGCAAATTTTCAAGCGCCACCTGACGTCGCAATTCCGCCACTTCCTACAAAATGTGTGTGTGAAGGGACATGTAATACATTCTCAAATGCAAAAATTCAATTCTTAATTGAAATAAAAATAATATCAAATTCACAGAAATAAATATTCTTTAATGCGCAATTCAAAACAAAATTGAAATAGGGAAATAATATTATTTAGGAATAAATCGTATAGAAGAAGGAAACCGAATACGCAAACTTCTTTAAGAAAAATATATGTAAGAAAAAACAAAGAGAACACTTTATATACAGAAAGTATGTAGAGGTTACATTAAATATGAATCAAACAATGAAAGAGATGCAAAATGCAATAAGAAGACATCACAACGAAAGAATAAAGAAACCAAGAAGAAGAAGAATAATAAACATCAAGAAATCAACAATCGGCACATAAAAGTCAGAACAAGGACAGGTGCATAGGCGCAAGCACAAAATGCACTAATAATAAATGTCTATATCATAAAGAAATGTTTTGCATGTCTATGTATGTGTTGATGTTTGTTTATGTTTCTTAGGCATATGTAATGTATGTGTAGGTGCAGTAAATACAAATATTTAAATAGTTATGGTTAGAAAAAAATATAATTATTTGTATAGAAACGATTCCGATTATCATAATTAACGAGCTAAAGAAAGAACTGATTGTCGTAAATTTTATGATATGCTTAATATAACATTCGATCCGATTTATGTGTGCGCATATACATACTTTTGTAATTAATGTACAGATCACACTCGGTAACATATTAAGGGGACTCCCTCTATTCTCGTTTTCAAAAAATTGAATTTTGTTTTCTATTTTTTATTTAATTCACACCTACACTAATTCAAGAATGTTCCTATAAGATTTCAAGTGAAAATCTCAACAACTCTAGGAGATATAGTCGATTTATTGTGCGTTTTCTCCAAACAGTATTTTACAACTGGCGGGCACGATTACTCAAAAACTCTTAATCCAATCGCTACCAAATTTTGAAACGTTCATCTGTGAGTATTTAGGTATGGTTTTTATCCGAACGGTGAATGTTTTCATTATTTTTAACGTTGTTTGTTTTTTTAACTTAGGATTTCACAAAAAATACGGAACTCCTAGATCCATAGTTTTTTTTTAATCTAAACTTTCACTAATTCCAATTTTCTCCACTCTAGAGCGCACAACAGGCCTCATTTGGCTTATGTGTATGTCCATCTCATATTTGGACATGTGGTTATATCATCCACCCCTCTTTTCCACCTAACATAGGTGTGCGAAGTCAACAATCCTTGTTCATACGAGAGAGAAACATGTATTATTTCTAATTTTCTTATCACAAAAATAAAAACAAAATTTAATAAATTATTTTTTTTTTCACTTTAAAAACTTCAAATATATGTGCAAAGTTACAAACTTTAAAATCGAGAATGGAGGGTTCCCTTAAGTTGAATTTTGACATAGTAAATGAACCACAGAATTCCTTGAAAAAATTCATGGAGATATTCTGTCGTGTATTTTTACGTATTTTTTGGCCATGCATTAAGGCATGGCAAAAAAATAGAAAACTAATTTTGAAATCTTACAGCCTTACCTAAAATTCAACTAGCTCGTTCGACGTTTTTCACCACAAAATAGAACACATGTATTTATGTATTTAAATTTCAAGTTGAACAATTTCAACTTTGACAGAACGTATTTTTCATTTTTTTTCTTTTGTTGAAAACAAAAACAAAACATTCTGGAAATTTGAAATTTCGAATGGAAACTAAAGATACGTGGATTAATTTAACAAATGTTCAAACAAATGTTTTGCGGTTTGTATTATTTGCTTGAAGATATGGATTCGACGTATTTGAGTAAGTTGAATATTTTTGTACGCCCCGTCGGATTTTAGGTAACGTTGTTATAGTTTAGTATTTAGCTGACTAATACTAAACTTTGATTTTGTATTTAGCCTTAGTTTAAAAAAAAAAAATAATAATAATAATAATAATAAATAAGGCATAAGTCAAAACATGACCGGCAAAAAGAAGCTGGATGTTTGGGTGCAACACCAATTAACAGAAAAAAATAGAATGCATCAAATTTCCGTCTGCGAAGCCTTGGTCAAACGAAATGAGATAGACCAATTTCTTAAATGGATGGTGACTGGAGTGAAAACGATCGTGGTCAAAGAGCGGCGAAGCACCTCAAACGGTGGCCAAACCATGACTAACGGTCAGGAAGGTTCTGCTATGCATTTGGTGGGACTGGAAGGGGATTATTTATTATGAGTTGCTCCCATATGGCCAAACGCTAAATTCTGATCTCTACTGTCAACAACTGAACCGTTTGAAGATAGCAATTGACCAGAAACGGCCAGAATTGGCCAACAGGAGGTGTCGTGTTCCACCAGGACAACGCTAGACCACACACATCCGCCATACAGTCCGGACTTGGCACCAAACGCTTATCATATTTTTCTTGAATTGCAAAATTTCTTTAAGGGGACCTCCCCCATTCTCGATTTTAAATTTTCAAGATTTTCATTGGTCTGGTAAATGAATACCAATGCATGTTATGATTTGTAACTTTACACATATATAATTAATGATTTAAAAAAGAAGAAAAGTAATTTGCAAAATTTGGTTGTTGTTGTTTTGTTGTTGTTTTTGGTGATTAAAGAAAAGTCCTTATTTCTAATGGCGGGCATGATAACTGGAACATCGGATCACTGGAACATCGGATTCCGAAAATTCCAACGGTGTTAGAAAGAGTATATGACTGGCTCTCGTATGAACTAAGATTATTGACTTCGCTTAAATATTAACAAAATGGCGGACCTTTGAAAAAAAAATGTTGTTGGGAAATTCGACTATTTTTGACCACAAACTATATAAAAAAATTTGGAACCGATTGGATTATTAGTTTTTGAGTTATCGTGCCCGCCATTCGTAAAAACCTGTTTCGAGAAAAATGCGTTTAAAGGTTGAGAAGCCCTCTTGCCGTCACTTGAAGGTAGCACAAAAAATCGGCTATATCTTCAAGAGTTGTTGAGACTTTCACTTGAAATTTTGTGAGAACATTCTAGAATTAGTTGAGTTGATTAGAATTAAATCAAAAAATTTTGGCCCAAATCCGACATTCCGCAGCACGTGGACATAAAAATGTGAACCGATAAATCCGAAACCAAGCATCCTAGGAGTAATGCAGTAATATGCAAATTTTGAAAGGTGTCGTAAACGAAATGACAAATGTAAATTACACTCTATGTTATATTGGAGGTTATATCAACAATACTATTACTGTCAATTATACTTAACAGCTTCTACGTGCCGAAAGTTGTGTACTTCAAATGAAAAACGAGCTATGTTTCCTTCCTTCCTTAATATATACAGTCGAATTCGGTAAGCGAACGCCGGTTTATCGAAAAAATCGGTTAATTGAAACTAAAAATTTTAAACTAATATTTCGGATGAATTTTCAAACACTTTACTTCGCTTAAAAGAAAAACCGGTTTACTAAAAATCTGTATAAGAGAAAGACTTTTTGTTGAAAAAACACAAAAATATATGAAACGAGCACCGTTTAAGAGAAAGATTATCATTTTTGTAAGGGCGACGAAATTCATTCAAATTTTTATGTGCAGCCCTAAAACTACATTTTTCCATCCATCCAAGCTTATGTCTACGATAAAAGAAGTTCTTATTCAATTCAATTTATAATATGATTTATAAATTTCACGATTTTTCAAATATTGAATGAAAACTTCGTTTAAGCGCAACGACTTTCGCTTATCCGAAGTTCACTTAATTGAAAATCTTAAGAGAAAATATTTTCTGAAATTAGCCGTTTTCGCTTAACCGAATTGGACTGTATATGAATATATATATTAGGTTGGGGAAGATGGAAACCATTATTTTTTCGCCAGATGGCTGTACTGATAGATTTCTCCTAAAGTATGGATCAAACAATCAAAAGGATTTATGCTCGTTGGAAGGGTGACATTTCGCATTAAAAAAATATTTTGCTGTTTGCATTCAGTTGTGAGTTACAGGGTGTTAAAAATTGAAGTGAACAAAGAGAAAATTCGGTACATTTTACAGATTTTCTTTGACAAAGGCGAAAATGCAAGCCAAGCGGCTAAAATTGTGAATGGTGTTTATGGTTCCGATGCTGTAACAGCCAATTATGTGCAATTTTGGTTTCGTAGATTCCATTCAGGAATTTTTGATCTTAAAGATGCACCTCGCATCGGAGAAATAATCGAAGCTGACTGGCATGTTAGCAGTCGTAACATCGTTCAGGAGCTAAAAAAAAATAAAGTATAAAAAAAATAAAATATAAAGATAATGAATTTATTTTTCCTCAACCTTATATATTTTTGTTTTCATGCGTAATGAATATCCCAAAATTTCAGTTTTTATTTTTTGTTCGCCTAAAAGTATGCTCAATAATTTAATATCATTTGCCAACCTCAACAGCAAAGTACAGTACAATAACAAAACACTTGTATAGTTCTATTATAGCATTTCTGGCCATTCCATTCAAATAGTGTTATAAAATACAGAAATCTGCAAAATACTGATTTTCTAAGGATTCCAGACTCAGGTTTCAGAGATTGGCGGAGACTCAACTCGAGATGGTAAGGATATTAATAAACATAGATCAGATAAAGTACGAAGGAGGAGACAGCAGCTCCAAAAAAATATACATCTTCGACATTCTAAAAAGAACAACTGGAGTCGTCAATGTTCTCAAAGGTAGCACACACGCATTGCCGGTGAAGCCCCATAATCTGATCTTGGTAGGGCGTAAAATATCTTTTATATCCTCTAAATTGGTAGGATGCAGTGTTTCTAAACATAGATTTCAATATTAACATTTTTCCACAAATTACCTTCTGATTGGAAGATATTTTTATAGTTTTCCGTTTCCCTAATTTTTGTATTATTTTGACATTTTTCTTGTTTACAACATTTAGCATTACAGCAGTACGGTAACACGACAAATGTGTATTTATTTACATGATTATTTTGGCATTTTATTTTC